GATTAAAAAAAAAAAAAAAACACAGTTTTGATACCCTGTAAAATGCGTAACGGTAAATTGTCACATTTCGGAGGTTTTAAATTTCGATAAATGGGGTAACGACATGATTCGAGAATGGCACATTTTCAAGTGGAATGATTCCATTCAATCAATACGTAGCAACATGTAAGAGCTCTCCAAAGGCCACAATATTCAAGTTCTTAAGGTCATGTTAAAACAGACTTCAAACATGGAATGAAGGCATACATAGATAGCGGAGTGGTCTTGTGAGTGAGTATTGTACGCATTACAATGAACACCACAGTATTGGTTTGCAGGCCAAATTGTGGAGGGGATTGCGTGTCCCCTTATCGTGCAGTCTATCTGCATGGGTCCATTACAGCAGGCGGCACCTTCAGATGAGCCGTGCAACACCAACAACCTCTAAACCGGCAAAACACACCTCTGAAGATTAAAAAAAAAAAAAACACAGTTTTGATACCCTGTAAAATGCGTAACGGTAAATTGTCACATTTCGGAGGATTTACATTTTGATACATGGGGTAACGATATGATTCGAGAACATGTAAAAGCTCTCCAAAGGCCACAATATTCAAGTTCTTAAGGTCATGTTAAAACAGACTTCAAACATGGAATGAAGGCATACATAGATAGCGGAGTGGTCTTGTGAGTGAGTATTGTACGCATTACAATGAACACCACAGTATTGGTTTGCAGGCCAAATTGTGGAGGGGATTGCGTGTCCCCTTATCGTGCAGTCTATCTGCATGGGTCCATTACAGCAGGCGGCACCTTCAGATGAGCCGTGCAACACCAACAACCTCTAAACCGGCAAAACACACCTCTTGAGTCCCTGAGCATTGAATAGGAGCGCACGTCTTTTTCTGTTCATTCAATTCTCTTTGTGATAGGCATAGAGTAAAAACTCACAGTGGGAAAGGCTGGCCTTGAAATGTAAAAAGAAAAGAAAAAGCAAGAAAGACTACCGACGTTGTGGCAGCGCACAAAAAGCATCTTCAGTGGAGGTCAGACACTAAAAAAAGATTGTGTCAGCTGTCTGCTGCAGATGATCAACAAAGATTTCGTACTGAATGGAAATGTCTATGAAGCAAACTTGGAAGAGTTTCCTTTAATACTCAAGAGTTTATTCTACGAACAGCCTCCAATATTGATCGACACTTCTAACTACGGTAAACTAAAATCTTTTAATTTCACACGAATGAGGGGAAGCTACATTGTTTTTGTTTTTTTCCCCCCCCATCACCAAATTCTCGAATCGGGCACAACTGCACAATCTAATGCTGTCCAATATTCGGTACAGTATGATGAGAACCACATCTCGGCGTCAATGCAGCGCAGTTGAACATCCTTGCAAACCATAGTTAACATATAAACATGTTAAATTAACTTACCGCGTGGAATAATTTGACTAAATGAATAATGTTCAGCCGATTGGTAGTCTGATTGGAAGTGACAGCATAGCATCGCCGCATGCATGACAAAGGGCAACCATGTTAAACTTGCTGCTGAGATTGCTCTTACAACCCCATTTTCTTACAGGCTGTCACCGCATATAGATATATATAGATATATATATATATATTTATATATATATAGATATATATATATATATATAGATATTTTTTTTTTTTTTTTTTTTTTACCTACACAAGAAAATAAACTGCAGTAATTGTTTCTTGTGATCCGGATGGAATACAACATCCATGGGCAAATCACACCTCACTTGAAGTGGCTAACGAGCTAGCCCCCTTTTTGCCTCCCTGTACTCTACTGCGGCCCCGTGACGTCAGGTAACCTAGCAACCGCTCTTCTGAGTTGTCAGCAACATTTCAGTGGGATTTTCCCATGCATGTGAAACACTGAGTGCTGACAAAATGCAACCCCACATATAAATGTCATCATGTGGCTCTGCACAGCAACACAAGAGCTCGGGCATCTTAACGGAGCATTTGACTCATCTATTATCTTGCTAAACAACACAAGTGAGAAGTCCCCTAGTCCCTCATTAATATCAGTGAGATGGCATTTAGGTTGGGTGCACAAGCGTGTCAACAAAACACGATAACAACAGGCCTCCTCCATATTATTTTTGGTGCAGGGTAGCGAAAGCAGCTATTGACGCGTGGCCTGGAGGTGGGTGACGGTGGGGAGACAGATGGCGTCAGAGCCCACCTGTCAGCCGAGTTAAACGGCACCATGGCAACGGCCTAATGCTGTGGAGGGGATGAGTGACAACCAGCGTGTTAGCCAGGACAGGAGAAGAGAGCAAAGAGAGAGAGTCCCAGCAGCAGCCCGTCTGACACTCCAGACTCGGCCCAGCAGAACCCGCCGCTGCTCCAATTGTTCCTGACGTTTGCTGATACGGGCAACACTATGCCACCTGCCAAGGGAAGTGGGGCCCTGACGAAAAATTGGGCAACAAAATTCTGTCCAAAGACGGTATATTTACACAGGGAGATCAATGAATTTTCAACCTGCTGGATCGCATTTCTATTTAGCAATGAGTCGAACACAGCTCTCATTAAAAGGCCAAAGCAATTTGTCATGTCCGATTAACCCTAATCTTGAAACACACCTTTATTGATAACCATCTTCACCATACAGTGGAAAGTCTTCAATTGAATGCCTCTGAGGCACAGGCATCAAACACGAAGCCATCAGCCAGATCCCATCAACCATGTCAAGCCTGACATCATTGAATGAATGGCAAATAAGTTAATTAATTTGAAATGGCATCATGTGAATGTGAATATCAGCGTGAAAGGGGGGTAGGGGGGGCAAGAGCATCAAACCAATGCAAAATCCACCGGCATCTTCTCATTCTTCATTTCCTAAAAAAAGAAAACGATTGGCATTGCACTTTCCTAAAGGCAAAAAACATGTTTCATTTGAAGTGTGATCAAACATGTTTCGATTTACCAAAAAGCAAGAGCAGTTTATTTTGCATTTTGTTCCCTTACTCTATCCATTGTGAACAGAACCATGAAATTAAACCCAGGGTATGGTTTTGGTGCACCATGACACTTCGAGCGATTATACATTACAACCGTTCGTTAAGGGTAACCACAACTACAATGTGGCCCACGATAAAAACAAGGCCAAGACATCACCATACCATCACCAACAAAGGATTGACAAGTTCTACTTTTACACTTAGCGGGATCCCCCTCCCCCCAAAAAGGGCCAACAACACCAAAGTAATGATCTCTTAAATGCATCAAGAAAAGCAGACTCACACTCGCGTCATCAAATCTAAGGCAGATTGCTTTGTTGTTATTACTATAAAAAAAATGTTTAAACTACCTATTACAGATTTCTAATCAGATAAATTATGAGAGGTGTGTGTTTCAGCCATAAACGTCTTTCATTAAGTCCATTTGCTCACCCGTGACATCGAACATGACAAGCAGTATGGAAAATTGACAGATGGACAACACTGAAGTTCTGTGAGCTCAAACGTCCATGACTTTGTATATTTTAAAGAATGGTTGATGTGATCATCCGAGTGAGTCTTATTATTTTTTTTTTTCCTCGTGGTGACTCTGTATCAGTCTTCAAGGGAGCAGAAGCACACGTTCCAGCCATCCTAATACAGGGACTGCTTTCAAGGACAGATGGCCCATTTTAGGAGCAACTCATGACGCACAGTTTGGAGCTGAGCTAAGAAAATGTGTCAGGAGATAAAAATAGTGCAGCCAGGGAGGCCAAGATAGGCAGTAGTTGGGTCACATGACCTTTAAGGGGCAAGCACACGCTTGATCGTCTCAAACAATGGCCTGCATGGTGCCCCTCCTTCTCCATCATTGTTATCTCCTGAGGTCGCTGACCTCCTGAGGTTGGACTTCTAGTTTGCACATGCATATCCGAGCAAACATATCAGCAGTCACTGCTAAACATAAAGTGATCGTATTATTCGTCCTGCGGGAATGTTCAGTTCAATGCACACGTTCGAGAAAAGGTGGCCTTTTGACGAGCAAATATACGTTTGGAGCAAAGATATACGCCCGCCCGCCCCCTCTTCCCGCCGCAAAATTACAAGACACAACTAATCCTGGGTGGGTTTAAGAATAGATCAAGTCCTGCCTACACGGTTTCCACTGTTTTACAGGTTCTCGTCACACGCTGCGGCTCAAAACGGAAATAGAGACAGGGTCAGTGCCGCTGCAATCACTAACGTCATGCTTCCTCAGTACACACATGTGAGCCACGTTCTCCTATTGTTTTCTCCTTAGTCACACACAGAAACGCATCCACACACACACACACACACACACACACACACACACACACACACACACACACACACACACACACACACACACACACACACACACACCGATGGACACACACATCTGTTAGCACTAAACCACAATTTAGCACCTGCACTTTAGCATCTTGGTACCGGTAAATCAAGCCCTCTGTGTTTTGGGCAATCAAAGCGGTCAATTTTAACAGGTTTGATTGTTGGGTGCAGCGTGGTTGGGGCCGCCCCCCCGCCTCTCCTAGTCTCTTTGCGCGTCATTTGATTTTCTTATTTAACAACCTACCCTGAAAATGCGGAGGAAGAGAAGATGTCTAAATATAGATGCAGCCAAAACAGCTCACGCTACATGCGCACGGCAAGGGCTCTCTCCCGCACAGAAGGGAGACAAAACACAGTGACGCCATGCTGTTTGACGATCACCGCCACGCAACA